ATTCCCGAAGTTTCAGCCTTCTAGCTTTCCTGATTCTCAAGTTAAAAGTGGGTGATAAAAAGTGCGAACACAAACATACAGGGGCAGCTTCTTGCCAATATGCGTTTTTGCATATATGCAAATGCAAAAACGCATAAAAATCAATAGCTGAAAAAAACTAACCTCTATAAAAAAGCTGAGCATGATATAAGGCCCGTCAAAAAGGATAAATAGAATCATGAGTAGGAGGACTAGCTTGACAAGGCTGAGGAACTCATGCAGTGCACGGGACTGCTTGATAAACTCCGAGTTTTCATGCGGTTTCATTGGTAAAGATCGCGCCTTGCGCTGATTGCCGCGCGACAACAGCGCACCAAAACAGATAAATGAAATAAACAAGCAGCCACCATAAACCAAAATGCGCGTTACTGGATATAATATCGGCACTCCGCTACAAAATTAGTGACGTGAATTTGTCAGTAACTCGAAAATCATACATTTGAAGCTACTTTTGAAGCCAGTTTTTGGAAAGAAGCACTTTTCAACACTTCATGCTTTATCGAAAATTGCGCCTCTTCTTCAAAGTCGTTATTTCTGTCCAAATTATGCTCTAATCTATCTTTGCGTCAAAATTAATTAGAGCCTTTACAGTTCACTCTCAGATTTAGTGTTTTAAAATCCAGTTACTCTTTTTCCAGCTCAGTTTTACATTTCCACAATGATTTTCATGACTTCATGAATGAATTTTGTGCTCTTACTAATAAAGTCAATTTTTCTGAATGGATTTTCCATCAAATTAGCTAAATTCTGTATCACCAGTCTTAATTTTCTTCACTTCCGTATCATGTGTTTGTAAGCTACTCCGCTCTACTTATTCAGCCACATAAGGCTGGTCACCTTTACTGAGAAAGGAACTGTGTGTATGGCAGGTGATTAATAATGCTAAAATGATTATCTTACTACAAGCAAAATATAACCTGCAAAGGCCTAGTTGCTGTTTAGAAGATGGTCTGCAAAATACAGACTTCATTTTTTGTAAGCGATTTGAGGCTGAAGACTAATCGCAACTGTACGACCTCTTAATTTCTTCGAA